GGACCCCAATAGCAGGCAAGGAAAATGATGGTGTCTCACCAAAGACACTAGCCAGTCCCTTGGTTTGAGCAGAAAAGTCCTCCACGTCGTCTGATTGGGCGAGGAGCCTCTCCGGTCCCCGGTTGAAGAGAGTTGCCAATCCATTATCGATTTGGCCGGTCACATCACGGGACTGGTTGTTCTGGCTCTTCTGGGAAGCCTTGTCCAGACAGCCAAGTCGCTGCACAGTTGCCGCGGAATCAACGACGATGTAATCACCGGAATAAGCATCCGAGAGCAGTGCAACCGGGGAGGTCTGAAGGATTTCCTGGAAGACCACCTCAAAGGATGGGACGTCGTAGATCTTGATTTGGAATCGAACCTTGCGTCGTTTCTTGTGTGACGAACTCGTAACAATTGCCAATGACTTTGTTCTGGCATTTACGGCAATCAGCTGTGAGTTTCCGGCAGGCGAATCCACAGATTCTGACGACTGGATAGTCTTGACAACATCGTCGACTGTGTCCCAAACAGCCACCGAGTGAGTAGAAGCAACGATCAAATGGCTTCCCAAGAAACTCGTTGAGCAGGGGTTTCCAAGGAAAACACCAGTGCGTCGGTAGTGCACAGAGCAGTTTCGTGCGTCGATCAGGAGAACGAGACCGTCATTTGCAGCCGATGTCGACGGCAGACAGACGGCCAGTACTGAGCCATCCTCGGAGAAACTCATACAAGCCGCATCCAGAGGAGAATCTTCGGTGGAATTGAGACATCCCTCCAGGTCAACGGTACCACGACACTTCCACGTGTTCAGAGGCTGCTCTTGTTGATCTTTGGCCTTCAGCCCGCTTCGGTATTTCGCAGTTGGACACCAGAAGCGGAGAACAGAGTCCGCACCTAGGGTTGCAAACTCGTGGGCACCGGGCCGAGACACCAGACCAAGTACAGCTGAGTGGTGGTTCTTGGAGAAATGAGGACCGTCAACACGTGTGACCAGTTCCCAGGTATCAGAGGAAGCGTCCCACTTCCAGAACTTCAAAAAGACCTCTGGACGTAGGGTGGCGGTGGATTTAGCATTAGAAGAGCGATCTAGGGCCTCCACATCCTGAGGATGAGGAGCCCAGGTATCAACCGTAGCCAACCACTTCGCATCATGCACTATATCCAAGTGCTTAACATCGGGTGCGACAATTTGAGACCCTCCGGGACTGACGCTCAATGTGGTCGCATTGGTTCGCGCAAGGGCTTGGCGGGAGATATTGGAGTTGGCACGGATATCATATGTCTGAAGCACAGCCGCATTTGCAGGCTGAGAGCCATGCTGGTTTTGAGTAAGCTGGTGGGAGGCTGGGACGGCCACAATCAATCGCTCTGGTTGCTGCGGGTGCAATTTCGCCACAACAGATCCCTTTGAAGATTCCACAGAGCCTGACATGTCTGGGCACAACTGCAATCCTGTGATGGTGGTGAGAGGTTGCAATTCTCTCGTCGACAAGATCATGACTGAGTTGTCGGCCAATTTAACCACATAGGAGCTGCCACTGGCGGAGACGACAATGTTGCAGATAGGGGAGGAAAGATGGGGAAGGAATTGCTTCCGGCCAGTGTCCAATTGCCAGAGAACCATGACCGACTCCTGACCACCCGAGATAATGTAGTTTCCTGGTGAATGTGAGCAATCTCTCTCTTAGAAACATGTGTATACAAGTGGACATACCGTCTTTAGACCAACGCACGGTGTTCACGGAGCCGCGGTGCCAATGCAACTTCCTAGGCGAAGATCTCTTATCACTGAGATCCTTGCCGAAGAGGGTATTCAAGACATTCTGGTAAATCAGGATAGAACCGCCGGTCTCTCCTACTGCCAGATCGATGGATTCCGAGCCTTGGATCTGGATGTCAAAGCAAGTAGCATTGACAGGAAGGGTCGCCTCGCGCCAGGCATACTGGACAGTCTCAAGGTTTTCAAGCTCTGCGCTAGTTGTAGTACCCATAAAGAGATGCTTACCATCACTAGCGATGATCACTCGGCCGTCGTGGGTGACCTTGATACTATTGATCTTCTGGCTGGTCTCGAGGGCGGTGGTGCCTTGGATCTTCTTGTCCCCCAGTGTGTTGATCGAAATTTGTCTTTTTCCATCCTTTTGCGAGATGATAGAGCACGAAACAGCAGCTGTGCTTCCTTCTTTTCCCACCGAGGCTAGACTCATTGAAACGGTTGTGCAGGTAGTCTCCCAGCGTGCGATGCGCTTTCCGGAACTCCAATTCCATTTGCTGATAGAGCCCGAAGACGTGAAGATATAAAGGCTTTCCTGGTCTTCGGGGCAGATGCTAAACCCAATGATCTGTTGGCCAGCCTCCATTTGCAATGTACGTGACAGGCGGGAGGTTGAGGTTGCGAATACTTGAACGGCCGTGTCTAGTCCGACCAAGAGATATCTGTGATAGAAAAAGGTTAGAATGCGTCTCACTATCTGTCGACAGGAAGAGTCCTCACGCTTCATCGTCGGTCAGAATTGGATCTAAATTGTTGTAACGACCGCCAACGGGGCGTGAGAAAGACCACGGCGCGGGGCTTTTTTGCTTAGTCTCAGCATCTTGTGTCTGGACATCGCCATTGGAACCTTCCTTCACACCGTCGGTAGGCTCGACTGTCTGCAGGCTTTGGTTTTCGCTGGCTCCGGAGACTCTGCGCCTTTTGGATCGCTCTTCATTCGACCGGGGAGGCTTTTCGGAGGCCGCATCGCTAAGCCGGGATCGTTTTTGCTGTCGTGCTGACTGGTTGGCCACCATTTTTGCTGGTGAAGCAGGATCGAGAAAGAGGGGGGAAATCGTTCAAATGTAAGTTGGTGCGACTCAGACAATCATAGCTCTTGCAAATTGGGGCACAGTTGCAAAGACTTGTGTCTAAGGGTATTCATGGCAGATCCATCTACTTTTTTTTCCCAAGGGAAAAATAAGGCGGGAATCTTGGGCAGAAAATTGCGGTTCTCCTGATTGGGTTAGATCGACCTTTGATCTTCGCGGGAAAAAAAGTCTGGCTCAAAGCGACATCATTCACCTCCAATCGACCTTGTTTATACATTTCTCATTCTCCGAATCATCTCCCAAGTTGAATTGCCGAAATGATTATTCCCGTTCGTTGTTTCTCCTGTGGCAAGGTAAGCAGCTGTTGTCCGTGATATGTATGATCATTTACTAAACTCCCGATTGTAGGTTGTCGGTGACCTCTGGGAGCGTTACCTACAGCTTTTGGACGACGGTGTTCCAGACGGGTATGGCGGCCTCCAGTCTATCACGTCTGTCCCTGGCTAATAAACTCTTTTACAGCGACGCTATGGACCAGCTTGGCTGCCGACGGTACTGCTGCCGGCGAATGATCATGACCCACGTTGATCTGATTGAGAAACTTCTCCGGTACGTCTCTCGTTATTTTGAGGTTTTAGTGATTGTTGCTCATTTTTGAATAGTTACAATTCCGCCGAGAAAGATCGCTCCAAGGCTCAAGTATAAGCCAATCAATTTCTCACGCGAGTCAACCTGTCATCGACTCAAGCCGAGGCTTTCCTGTCAAAAAAAACCACACAAATACCCCATTCTCCCTACTGCCGGGTCATGCTAGGCCGACCGCCCTTTTATATCCTGTCGGCCAGAAGACATTGGGCGCATACTGAAGTTTGCAAAAGAAGAAACACCAGCATTTTATGCTTAATGACGTTATCATTGGTTTTGGCTGGTCTTTACATTCAAATGCTGCCAGTTTTGGATTTTTCTGGGGGCAGTGAAGTGGTTTGAGATGCGACGGGTGGCCCAGGCTCCGGAGATGAGACGAAGTTCCTCACAGGTGTTTCTTCCGGTATTTGCATTTAAAACGGCGTTGCACTCTACACATATGGCGTCAAGGGAGGTATTTGCGTTTTGGTTATTACTCAATGAATTTTACAGCTCTTTACAGCTCAAAGACTTGCAGTCTGACCCACCAACATTGGGAAAGCACCATTTGTAGCCCAACCCTACCCTGTTTTTACCCAAACGCCACTGCTTTGGTTCTTTGTCCCTCTTAGAGTAACCTCCGTTGTGGCCAGTTTCTCTCGTGCATCATGGCCCTCTGTCGGCTAGAAGTATAATCGTTGTCTGACTTACAGAGTGAATTGATCCTCCGGCATAATCGGACAGTAGAGGCATTGCCATGTTCCTGGCAATGACCAAGTCGATTTGCCCTTAGAAAACAAATATGTACAACATATAGACATAGTACTCCGCACGGAGTATACATTGGATGAGTTGTTCCCAACAGTCTAGCCCCGATATAAATGGGCAAAATTCCCCGCTTGAACGCCTCCGACGATCTCTACAGCTCATTCTAGATCTGCAGTATACCCAATATGGACTTATCTATTCTCGGTTTCATGGACATGCGCTGTTGGTTTCTACTATTTTGGATTGATCTTGGGATTCGCAAACCAAAGGCGTCTATGCAATTATGCAATCTAAAGAACAAAACCCATGAAGTTTCATAAATTCCTAAGTTCCTCAATTCCTCAATTCCTCAATTCCTACTCGGGGGATCAAATAGGCGCCGTGATGAGCATGCATCTCAACCTCCACCAGCCACTCATATTGAGGGGAGCTGCATCGGACTATACCGCATCCAGGACAAAAGCGCTTCCTTCAGTTTCAGCCAATCAGAGAGCGAAGATGTATTACAACAATAGCTATACAATTGCTTCACAGTACACATTTCTCAAGGCCTTTCTTTCTGAAATTGACCCTCAATTTGCATATTAGGACATTGCCAGTGTGAAATGGGGACTCCGCATTCAGCGCCATATCTAATATACCCTCCCCCCATCCTAACCATCCAAAGTATGAAAGATGTATTGAAGAAACAGATATCACGTGTAGTGTGCGCTAGGTAAGCGATAAGGGACCGGGCTCAGCTCCCTCAAGTGTTGCTCCCCCCATCTTTTTTTTTCCTTTCACTTGAGCTTTGCTTTCTTATATCCCATATACATTCGGCCATGGCCGTCAGGTCGCCGCTATCTGTCCTACCATACCGCGTCAACTCCGCAAGTCCGGCTTACTATTCTCCACACTCGGTTTCAATGTAAGACAATTACTGGTTTCTCTAAGAGCATCGCTGATGCTAAACAGGTCTCTTGATGGGGTCCTCGAGGGGAATGAGAGTTCCCACTTCTCCGCCCCCGAGCCGATAAACCGCTTATCAGCCTCAGCCAATGAAGAGGATTGCGATGATTGTGATGATTGTGACGATTCAAATGGTGATGATAGCTCTCTTGAACCTATACGTGGATCCGGGGTTCCTTCTCAACCGGAGCTTACAGTATGTACAAATTGCGGGCTATGCATTTCAGTTAGACTCACACTATATAGATTCAAACCGAATACCCAAATCATGTGGGAAGCAGCACAAGGTCGGACGACGATGAACCTCCGCAGTCGGTGATACATGCTCCGCCAGGATTTGGTGATTTTGTACGAATCCCATCAGGACTGTTGCCGCGTTGGCTAATGGTGAATCTACCTAGGCGCCAATGCAGCCCACTTTCGAGGGCACAGAGGAGTCACAGTCGCCATCAGTCGGTTCAGATGAGCAAACTGGTGTAATAAATGTACCTACAAGGCCGAGAAAGGTATTTTCATGATAGCCCCCCGGCCCGTTCATATATGGCGCTGATGAATTTTATCCATACAGTTCGGCAATAGTCCAATATCGCCGCCTCCATTGACAACATCCCTCAGTCTCGACAACGATTGCAGCGAGCGAGCGACGCCACGTGCACAGACAAGACATGAGTTCGAAGAATTTGAGAGACGCACTCGTTCGAGTAGCTTACAAGGTACTATAGCCGACTTCTTTCAAGTCATGCTTTGATCCATGATGGCCCTTGCTGACCTTTTTTTTTTTTTTTTTTCCCCAAGATATCCCTGAAGGTATAACTATGAGCGCAAATGCATTTGAGCTTTAGCAAATGAGACTAATTTTAATCCAGGATTAACCAGCAAAGAGGCCGAAATCAATGCCCTAAGAGCTGCTCTCGACGAATGCTGGACACTATGCAATACGCTGGCCAATCTTAGTTATATCCATCGAGAACGTCTCCCCAAATCCCACAATGATGATATGCAAGAGGATGCATGGCGGTCATGTTGGAGACTTTGCCAGAAGCTTTATGACACACGTGACGACGACTACGCATCGCAAATCCATCCGACCCTTGATCTCTGTCGAGATTTCTGTCAGGCGCTATTTGAGGCCCGTATTCGCGACACTGACCTATCCGACTCGGTCTTGAGAGTAAGTTTTGAATTGAATAATCACCTTTACAACACTCATGATCGGAACCTTCCCGATGCCTTCCGCGAAAGAACCTTGGACTTTTATATTACCTTGTGTCACCGTCTCATGAAGCAGCGCACCCGCATCACGGAGACAGACTCTCTGCTGAGTGCATGTTGGACATTAGCCGAGATGCTGTTCAGCATTCGCCAGAGCAAGAGGGAAGGGAAACCACTGGATGAGGAGTTGTTAGGGTCTGCGGTTCAAGCCTGCTGGGAACTTTGCGATCTCTTCCGCGAGGGCTGGACCCTCCATAATTTGCGCAACTCAGATCGAGGGACACCTCGGCCGAGCCAAACCACGTTCTCGCAGGCATTCCATCAAACGTCGCAGCAGTCGGAGCTGGATTTCGGTGATGACCCAATGAGCCAACTCGGCAACCCCGAGACTCCAACCACCATATTCGAGGACACTGCAACGGCCTCGCCCGACGATACTCCGATTCCCAATATACTTGTATTGGGTTATGGTAAAGGGCATAATAACGCTCATACCAAGTGGTCATCCAATGCATCCAGTATATCGGAGCAGTCCCGATCATCCGGTCACACAGCATCCTCGGCCAACACCGTGACCACTATCTCGGAAGACCCGAATCTCACGCGCCTAAAGATTCTGATTACTAAAGCTGCCATCATTAGTGGCTATCAACGGGGCGGGAACCAGAATCTCTCGTCTTTTGTGAAATCACTTCCCTCGGATGCATTTGGCTCCGCGGCGTGGCAGACGTCTTTATTGAAGAATTATAGAAAGGTCGTGGCGTTTGACCCGACGTTCAGAAGTGTTGGTCTGCAAGCCCGGGTGGGTGCTATTGATGTCGCGCATGCATGCCAGGCAATGCTGCAAAGCGGCCAGTACTCGTGGCTCCGTGACCTCTACCGGCTCGTCTTTGGGTTCCATATTGAAGAAGCGATGGGCCGCAAAGGTGTGATTATCCAAACGTAGCGTCTAGGCCCATCACGAGTCGCCATCTCGCACGATTTCCTATGAAACGTGCTCGGTCCCAAAGGATGAGTTAGCGGATTCAATGCTGTCGACATTCGAAGTGGGGAGTGGGGACGTGTGTCGTCGCGTTGACTCGTATTGTGTACAGAACTAGGAATTTTATATTCCTTATTTCGGGGGGTATTCTCCCCTAAGGAGTTTCGTTGGAGTTTGGGCTTGTGTTATGGTCGGTATGTCCATAGCTTTAGGAGTGGAATCTCAATATTATTTTCAGCCTCTTTTACCTAAGATAAAGGCATATATACCTAGCTGCCTAGGTATCCATGGATATTATCTCACCTTATTATTATTTTGCCAAGATTCCTCTTAGGATGTTACATCGGATTTAATTAATTTCACATGATTACTCCACTCCCATCCCACATTAACTAAAAGCCCCGGAGCGAGGGGGAAATGATGTTTCTGATCGTCTGGAGATCCGAAGATCTCTCAAATGACAGTCCTTGAAGGGTATATAAAATGGATACGATTGACCACCTTATAGAATGGGGAAGTATGGATAGTATGTATGTAGATAGAATCATCCTCGGCAACGGGGAAATGACTCAAAATGGAGAGAATGTTCTTCGAGGCGTTGAAAAAGCATGCATTAAGCCACTGGACTCTCACCTGACTTTTTCTTTTTTTTTTTGTGGAGACGAACTGGGCGAACTGGGCGAATGAGGCTGGATCAAGGACCTCGGAGGTGTCGTGGTTAGCGTCTCACGTGTCTCATCTCACGTGTCAAATGGAATAATGGAATAACCGTAGAAGGAATGAAGAAGAATTGAATATCCTTATAGAAGTACGGGGTAGAACATGCCCACTTCACTATAGTTATACCTATATATGTAGGTAGATATATGGATATAGGTAGATCTAACTATATTCATACGTTGTGTTGCATACACAAATACATAACTAGTCCTTAACTAATAACCCAAAAGAAAACAACCAAGATTTCATTCTCAGCCAAAAAGGAATTGCCAATATTCTTGAATTAGCCTTAATTAGGCTTACTCTTAGTCTTAGTCTTAGTCTTAGTCTTAGCTTTCGGGGCGTCTGCAGGTGAGATCGCTGATTTGTGAATTTTTTGCTCCACTTTCCTAGTCTAGTCTACAACTACCCTTGACCTCTACGGAGTACTTGTTTTTCTTTTCTTTTCTTTTTTCTTTTCTGTTTTGCCCCTTTTTCTAACTCCCCAGTCTCCGCCATGGAGAATCCCCAGGTACTGTGGGGAGACACGGACACGGCATATTCCGAGGCATATTTGTGTCGTCTGGCGCGGAGAGCCATGTGTATATAAGCATCTTCCCCTCCCCAGGGACGGTTCTTCTTCCCTTTTTTTCCTTCTATACTTGAACAGCATCTATTCGTAGATAGCCATCTAGTTCACAATCATTGAATCATCCTTATATTTATTGGGCTACCTGGAACCATCATGGTTGTTCCCACCTTCGCTGGCATGTCTGGCAGGCTCTTGTCGCGTGCAGTTACCACGACTGCGACAATGGGTTTCCTACTATTTGGTTATGATCGTATGCGCTGTTATCCTAAACTAGGTATAGCTCTATGCTAATAAAGATCTGGTGTAGAGGGTGTTATGAGTAGTATCATTGACGCTCCGGACTTCACTGATATACTGACCGAGTTAAGAGGCAATGCGACTATGCAGGGCACGGTCACTGCTATCTATGAAATTGGTACGTCCCTTCTAGGATTAGTCTCCGTCTTGTTTCCAGTTTGATACTAAAACAACCCCAGGCTGTCTTTTTGGTGCCATCTTCATGCTCATCTGGGGTGACTGGCTCGGTCGTCGCAGGGGTATCATAACCGGTGCGACCATCATGATCCTCGGTGTTATTGTGCAGGTGACTTCTTATGCTGGCAATCAGCCTCTCGCGCAATTTACTATCGGACGTATAATCACTGGTGTGGGCAACGGAATGAACACTTCTACCATTCCCACCTATCAGGCCGGTAAGTATTCAATGAATTGGCGTAGGATCTTATTAGCACTGAGACAGACTACTAACTTTGAATTTAGAGTGCTCTCGAACATCAAACCGTGGTCTTCTTATCTGTATCGAGGGTGGTACCATTGCCTTTGGTACACTGATTGCTTATTGGATTGATTTTGGTGCATCATATGGTCCCCCTGATGTGATTTGGCGTTTTCCTATTGCCTTCCAGTGTGTGTTTGGCTTATTCATTATCGTCGGTATGATCCTTCTACCTGAATCTCCGCGCTGGCTTTTCACGCGTGAACGCTATGAGGAAGGTGAGAAGGTTATTGCTGCACTCCTAGGCGCCGAACCAGACTCCCACGAGGTGACCCTACAAAAGAACATCATCATGGATTCTATCCGCGCCTCTGGCCAGATGGGGAAGACTACCCCAATGTCCGCCGTCTTCACCGGTGGCAAAACTCAGCACTTCCGTCGTATGCTCCTCGGAGTTTCGTCCCAGCTCATGCAGCAGATTGGTGGCTGCAATGCTGTTATCTACTACTTGCCTATCCTCTTCAGAGACTCAATCAAGCTAGAGGGAAAGCTTCCATCTATTCTAGGAGGTGTCAACATGATTGTCTACTCTATCTTTGCCACTGCTTCTTGGTTTTTAATTGAACGAGTCGGTCGTCGCAAGCTTTTTCTCTACGGTACCATTGGCCAGATGGTCTCAATGCTCATTACCTTCGCTTGCTTGGTTCCGGACAAGTCCGGCCCAGCTAAGGGTGCTGCTTTCGGTCTTTTTATCTACATTGCTAGCTTTGGTGCTACTTGGTTGCCATTGCCCTGGTGCGTTTTAGGCCCAAACTTGAAATCGATGTGATACTAATGCATTCCTAGGTTGTACCCGGCCGAGATCAGCCCGATCAAGACCCGTGCCAAAGCCAACGCGCTTTCGACATGTTCCAACTGGCTTTTCAACTTTTTGATTGTTATGGTTACTCCAATCATGATCGAAAAGATTAAATGGGGAACATATCTCTTCTTTGCCGCGATGAACGCCTGTTTCTTGCCCATTATCTACTTTTTTTATCCCGAGACCGCCCGCCGTTCTCTGGAGGAAATTGACCTGATCTTCGCCAAGGGATTCTCGGAAAATATCAGCTACGTGCGCGCTGCAAATGAGCTACCTTACCTTTCTGATGAGGATATTGAGCGTGTCGCTATTCAGTATGGATTTGGTGCTGCTGATGAGGGGAAGTCTGGTGACATTAGTGACACCGCGGGGAATACCTCGCAACCTGAGACTGCTTAATTTCTGGGTGTAATGGACGGTTCTTTTTTTTTTTTTTTTTTTTTTTTGGCAGGGCCTGTGGCAAACTTTGTGCGGTGGTAAATATAGAATATCCTGATGTTTTGTGTTAGATGTTTACATATGTATACATGAAATTGGTTTATAAAAAATGATAACAAGAGGCTTCATTTTGACAGTTGTCGTAATAGCTAGGTGTTATAAAGTAGGGCTGTATTATCACGGGGTTTTAAATGCCTGAGGCACCAACTGTATACCGATGAATGATAGATCATGATATAATCACTGTTGGCCTCCTCTGCCATGTGGCCCTCTGCTGGCCGGGTGCCGTGCCCAGACAACAGCGAAGTACGAAGTCATAGGAATCTCGAAAATGACGTTTGTTGATCTGTCTGTATAGATACCTAGCTGTGCCCATTGACGCCTGAGGCCCGCAAATTTTCCTGCGCAGCTCTCCGCGAGAGCCACGTAAGGTCCCCGCATTGATTCCGGGGTATTTCAGTTACACGTGAGGCTCTCTGCTGACAAGCAGTGTGTGCGCTTCCAAGGTTGTAGCCTGGATACTGTTATTTGCCCACTCTTCGCCTAAATATTTCTTCATTAAACCAATTATTGAGTCACGTTGTCAAGTTTACATCGGTCACTGTTAACGGACACCGAGCAATGTACAAGAGAGATCAGACACCAATGGCCTCCTAGTGATCGTCGCTGGTCCACCCCAGCCATCCCAGGTCCCGGCCCTGCGCCCTAAGCCTCGCCTCTTGCATACTGCTGTTCAGGTCCATCATTTGTCTCGATTTGAATACTTCAGTCAATTGTTCCTAGGCCGTTGCTTGGCTCATTTCGATAGTTAAGTCTTGTATCGAGCGGTTGTCCCAGCATGGGTCTGTATGGGAGGTAAATGTATGATCTGGCCCAAGTCTGCATGATGCTGGACAAACAAGCTCGCAACATCAAAATATGGGTTGTTATTGGCAGGAAGGTCCTTGCACCGTTCGTAGCAAGACAGGAAAAATAATCGCCAAGGGGTTTGGCCTCCATATATGTGAACAACTTGGTATGGGTCAACATCGCGGTCTAGTAGCGTAGCTACAATATATGTTTCAATGCCCACATATTCTCGCTCATGGGAGTACGGAAGATCGCTTGGTGTGACTCTGGTCGGTCGAAGAGCATAGTCTAAGAGCGGTCGACCTCTTTTATTTGATTTGGATTGATCGATAGCCAAAACACGTTCGATATATAGCCGCAAGCGGGCTTGTATTGCCAAACCAAGAAAGGAGCACTGTCCACGCTCAACCCATTGAACAAATCTGGTACTGGTTGGTGAATCGCGACCATTTTTCCAGTGGTTGAGTTCGGTCTGTGGATGGACCGACATAACAGCATCGAGATCATCCAGGATGGGGAAGTGAGAGGTGCTTTTGCTCATTTGCTCCAGCTCATACGCGTAGTCCTGTCTTTTGACTCTTTCTTCAGAAGGTCAAGTGAAAAAATGGAAAAGGCCGTATAGACTCAATGGCAATGAGAAAGATACGGGCTGTATCTGCGTGGAAGAACGGATCATTCGATCTATAATTCGGACAAAGTACGCGTTCAACTCTCGAGGTAGGCTATTGAGACGTTTCTCCAACGTATCATACGTTTCTCTGGCAGTGATATCACGTAGGAGGTCCCGGACAACTAGAAATACCCATAGCCAAACCCCGTTTGCTCTTTGGGAAATTTCCAATCTAAGCGCGCTACATCGATGGTCCTTTGCCGCAAGGAATTTGAATTTGTCGTTTTCAAGAAGCATTGATTCCTTATAATTCTTCATGTCATCCCTGGTAAAATGTTGTAGCACAAACATCCAGTCAGAGCTACTCAGCTCTTCTTCAAAGGCTGTCTAGGGCCGGCTGGATGCGCATACTTTGAAGTTCTCGGATTGGGCTAGGCTCTTTAGGATATGAATCATCTCCACTTGCCGTCATATTTATTAAGTCTATCAATGAATAGGCAAAACCTTGCGGAAGACGCGGTATCAGCTAGACGGGAAAAGGTATCTATTAACTCGGTGATACCCCAAGGTTCTGACCCCTGATGCTTAGAACAGATCCTAGGGACCAATCGCGGCTCAAAGCCAAGAATCTGGTATAATATGCTCTGCAGGAGACCGAGCTGATATTTTTGGATGTTCACCCCAGCGTTCTGAAAGTAAAAGCTGGCGATGAACAAGACAAAAATAAAGGTCGGGACCAAGCTCACCATGCACCGCCCATGTCGCTTGCTGGTCTCAATGAAGAAGAAACGATATAGATGCTTCTCACTTGGCGTAACCGAAGTTGCGATAAAAGATATTCAGAATCAACCAAGCCCATATAGATCTTTGTGCAAGCTTGTCCATGGCATAGCGAATATGCCTTGTCCTATCCAATAGCTGATCACTCAAATAAATACGAGTGAAAAGCTGCAGACCCGGAAGTTTCTCTTGAGGGAACCTTTCGCTCAGGGCTATAGTTAGGTCATCTGAAAATAGGCATGAGTTCCCTAGGACCACGTATAAGCGAATAAACGAATCTTGTTCTTGAGACTTCCAATTAGCCGTTATTCATAGAGTCTTCACCGTCCACGGAATTTGGGGAATTGATCCGACTTTCACAGCTTGATTAATCCAAGCCTGAGTCTTCATTGGGGCTGTATGGCCGCTAACAGCGTGAACACAACCATCAGTCCCCGCGGCCAGGTGAATAAGTAAACGATGGGCAACAACGTCAACTGGAACGTCATCAAAGTGGACCTTCTCTTCTGGTACTGTCATACAGCTCGCAGTCTTTACCCTCCGAAAAGGGCTCAATGCAAATGCTGCGGCCATCACTGTAGATGGGGTGGACATAGGCATATGGTATCCAGGGAAAGGAAAGATTTGAGCTAGTCCAATCGTAGATAGGCGAATAATAAGCAATTTTCTTTTTGTATCTTGGTCACAGAATATGTGGAAGAGGACTCGCTTAGTGAGATACTTCGTATAGGCGTACGCCCATGGGAAATCCTCAGACTGATACGTATCGCTCGTGCCGTACTTCTGCACTTGGATCCACTTATCAATAGGGTCACCTTGGTTTTAGAGTTTGTAGAGATTATCCTTTATCTCAATGTCAAGGCCAGGACTTCGGGGGTGAAGGTAGGCGTTAACATACGCCGTGGAGACATAAACGAAGCGCTCAAGCTTTTTGCACGCAAAAGCAAGGTCTGCAACGGTAACGCTTGCCCCGATTACTGCTTCTAACGATGAAGAATCATGTAGTGACTTTCCAAGATTAATAGATGACCCGGAGTGGATGACAATGTTGGTGGTATACCGTAAGGTTTCCAATTCCATTTGTGAGAGTCCCATATCATACATAGTGATATCTCCATCCAAGATGGATAAGCGGTCCTAATCACAACGCTTATTAATTATGGCAGATGCAAGCCACTGTTCCCATCTTTGTTAGAGCTTTCTATGTCCAATCCTAGTTAGTCCCGTTGCATCGCTTTGGTTCAAGGTTTTCAAAAGATGAGCAGCTTACCTCAGTCCCCCGCGACAGAGCAAGTATACATGATACGCAGACGAACGATTGAGCAGCCGATAGACAATGGCTGTACCTAAAAATTCCGACCCACCTGTCACAAAAAATAGATTTATTGTCATAGAATTCCCACATCCCTGGTGATCGCCTGCGTCTTGATTTAGAGGGGACACAAAACTGGAACCAGCAAAGGTGTTCTTCATTGACGATTCAAGTAGCCTATTTATTAATATTAGTTTGAGATATACACGTTTAGTCTCAGCGGGGCTAAAAATGTCTGGTGTTTGGCCATAGTTTTGGTGAAAATGCCAATCTTGAATATCCTGGTATGTAATATCAGGTGATACATCTGCTTCATTTTCTCGCGGAATGTTGAACGTTTCTACGGCTATGAAAGAAGTGAGTGAGGGTTGCTGGCACATAGAAACGGATCGAGAAGACATTTCTTAACATTATTGATTGGTATGGATAAAATCATACATTCTCTTTTTCTACATATGTAGAGATGAAGTAGAATGCGCAATGCAAGGGGGGCATTTTGTTTTCCGATACTTCACACATAGGTCAAGCCAAAAGGGGCAGCGAGAAGACCAAACTGAGCATAATTTAGAGATATATAACATGCCTGGTTTTTCCCGCCAAGGTTACTCGGACACAGAGACTATCACTTGGCTGTTATTTGGCCTGACCGACAGGTTGCCGCATCCATGCAAGTGCAAACCAACGCCACTGGGTCTCCAGATCCATTGCCTCCTCTACCCTGGAATCACTATTACCAGAATCTATATATGCCACACGTTATCGTCATCCTTGGTATTCCAGTGTTTTTGGTCTTATGTATTCCATTAGTCCACTTGAGCCTCAAAACAGCTTTATTGACTTTGATTCTTTACTGCATAGGTAACATCGGAATCACAGCCGGTTAGTTCGCCAGCATTCTGAGGCCAGATATCACGATATTCTTCCAAATCTAACATCTATTTTTTGTGTAGGGTACCATCGTTTGTGGACCCACAAGTCATACGAGGCCTCCCTTTCTTTGAGGGTGTTCTTGGCAATTTTCGGTGGTGCTCAACTCCAATGGTCAATCCTTTGGTGGGTAACACACCATCGTGCACATCACTGGTACCTTGATACAGACAAAGATCCCTATGATTCTCGAAAAGGATTCTTCTTTTGCCATGTAGGCTGGCTCCTTGGATACACGCCCAAGACATGGGGCCCGGTCAACATCGCTGACCTCAAAGATGACCCGGTAGTCCTGTGGCAAGATAAGTATTATTTTATCATTGCCGCGCTTGGCTGCTTCGGACTACCGACAATAATTGCCCACTATGGATGGAATGACTGGCAGGGAGGTCTTATCTATGCTGGTTTCCTTCGTGTTTTCCTCTACCTCCAAGTTACCTCCCTCACCAATTCCCTCGCCCACTCCGAGTGGGGAGGCAAAAAGCCATATTCAGCGAAGCACAGTGCAGTGAACAACATTTTTCTTGGAGTTGTCAACAGTGGCGAGGGATGGCACAACTTCCATCATACATTCCCGACAGACTTTCGCAATGGAATACAGTGGTACGAAGTCGACTTGTCTAAGTGGATGATCCGGCTATGGTGTCAGCTTGGTCTTGCGTCGAACCTAGTAAAGGTATCCGACTTTGAAATTGAGAGGCAGATACGCAGAGTTCAAAACAGGGAGAAAGACGAGCGTGTTGAAGATGATCGCCGGATACTTTCAACCCTTCCAACGATGCAGTGGACGGAATTCATTAGCCAAGCCAATACCGGCCGATGTCTGGTGTGCATCGATGGGGTCATACATGATATATCGGATTTTATGGGAGAACACCCCGGGGGGAGAGATTTATTACATCAAGTTCTTGCGAATGACGGGACGGCTGCGTTCAATGGCTTTCATGGTCATTCTCCTCATGCGAGACACATTTTGACGACAATGCGGATTGCTGTTCTCCAAGATGGACCTGCAACCGACTTCAAGTGATTGAAACTGGGTATGAGTATAGACGGACAGCAATCGAACAAATCGGTATCAAAGGACAATTACAATAAGATGGTTTACCGACACGGTGGGCAAGATTGAATAAATTCTCCTAAAACCTTTAAAGAAAAAGAATTATGGATTGCAGAAAGATTATATGCCACCAATTTGAACATGAGAATGACTACTAACACACTATTTTTTTGCTAGTAACACACATCCACTAGCCACTTTAGGTATGTCCACTGCTGGCCGCTATTATAAATCAGCTTATATTACCTCCCTCTCTCTTAGGGTTTTATCTTTAAAGCTATAAAGTTATAGTCTTTTTTTAAGCAGGTAGTAGTTTCTTTCTATTTTTATTTTTATTTTTATTTTTATTTTTATTATTTCCCCTTTAGCTATATATATACCTTTTATAATATACCTATTAATAATATACCTAGGAAACGGAATTATAAAATTTAGAGTAAATTAATCAAATAAAATAGTTTTATTATCGATAGTCCCTATAATCGCTATCTTTCTACTCGTCGCTATTATATTATAGATTCTAAGAATCGAAACTATACTTTTTATATTAAATTTAGTAAGAAATATTCTAAACGTTTTTATAATAAAGTAGAGTAGAATTATTTATTATATAATTAAAAATATTTCGATATAGAAATCGCGGTAGTAAAATAAGAGTAGCTTAAGTTATAGCGTTAATAAATTAAGATAATTTCCTATATTGAAAAATAGTAATCGGATATAATAGCGAAAATTATTCGCCTATAAAAATAGAGGTAGTTCCTTTATAAAAGAAATAATCGAATATTAAATTATAATATAGTTATAATAGATTAGTTAGATAATAAAAATCCTCCTAGTTCTAAAGATCTTATTAAGCTAGATTATTTAGCTAGTACTAATAATATTTAAATTCTTACCGCTATATTAGAGGATCCTACTCTAACCTAGATATTTAGTCCCTTATCCCCTTCTATTTTAGATGGGATAGATTTATCCTTTTTAGTTAGTAATTCTTCTAATAGAATTATTAAATTAGCTAAAGATAGCCCTTTAGATTTTTAATAAATTCCTATATATTTTTAGAGGTATTATACCCCTTCTATTTTATTAAATAATAAGGCTTTCCGCTTATATATTTTATTTCTAGAATTTCTTTATCCTAATATTCGTTTTTAGTTTCTTCTTTAATTTTTATATTTATCGCGAGTTTAGCGTTATTTAATATATATTCGAGTAATAAGATATAAAATATTAGGTAGAGTTTTTATATACTTTCTAGTAGCTTTAAATAATAATTAATTAGTCCTAATTTTTCTTTAATTTTAAATAGTCCTAATTATAGATAGTCTAGTTTATTATTAGGTCGCTTAATTTTAATATTATAGTATAAAAGATAAACCTTTTCCCCCCTTTTTAGATTAGGTCCCTTCTTATATTATTAGTTATAATACTTCTTTATTTATAGATTAATAAAGTTAATATCTTTAGATAATTATAAATATAACTATTTTAGCTCGCTAGCCTTTAATCTTACTAATTCTACTATAGCTATCTTACTAATTAGTTATCTAAAAATTATAGGATTATACCTATAGTTAATAAAGAATAGTAATTTTTATATTATAAAGTATACTATATTATTATATACTAGTTATACTATTAATAATAGTCCTATCTAGTTATTTTACTAGTAGTTTATATAGTATTATAGGTACTATTTTAATATCTAGTTTACTTTTTCTATCTATCTATTAGTTTATAGATAGTATATAGTAAAGAGTCTAAATTTAATACCTATCTAATCTATAAATAATTAGTATATTTTTAATATAAATACCTTATCCCTATCTAATATAATCTTACTTAATATCCTATAATTCGCGATTATATATTATAATATAATATTCGCTATTTAATTAGTATTAATAATTTTTATAATTAGAATTATATAGATATATTTTATAAGCCTATTAACTATAACTATAATTATATTATATCCTTTTTAAAACTAGTAGCTTTATAATAAAGTCTATAGTAATCTATTTTTAAAGATTAGATAGTATTTTAGATAGCTATAATTCCCTATAAGGTATATGTTATACTAGTTTATTTCTCTAGTATATATTATATTTCTAAATATAGAATTAGATCTTATAGTTTATATTTAGAAAGTAATAATTTTATAAAACTTATTTTATAGTCTTTTCTATTCCTATATATTTATATATAAGGTTATTATAATTTCTTCTAATCACTTCTTTATTAAATTTAACTAGAATATATATTAGTCTATATATATAGAATAATCTATTATTATTTTTAATAAGTTTATTATCTATTCCGATAAGTTAGTTAATTATATCTCCCTCTAATATATCTCTAATCTATTACAGGAACTTATTATCTTTAAGTTCTATTATTATAGCTAGTACTTATTTATTATATAAGATAGTTCTATCTTAGTTTTATTTTAATATAGCGGGTTTTAGTATTAAGCTTATAATCTAGTTATATATTTAAAGCGTCTACTTAGCTATTCTCTATCCTTTTATAATAAATAATTCTAAAATTATATTATATAAGGGTCTCTAGGAGGTTATAGGGGTTAGATGGTAGGAAGGAAAAACTAAAGATGAAAGGTAAGAAAGTAAGAGATAAAAAGGTTATATTTTAGTTAATTGAAGTATATTCAATATAAAGAAGATATTGACCATGTTCCGAAAAAGATTATTATCTCGGTGGTTATAGTCTTATTTATCTCTTTTGAAAATAGATCTAGATAGATCTAATTAAATGTGTTATCGTCATAATGATAGATTTAAAATGCATTGTATAGTTATATTATTAAATCATTATTTTGTAATGTTGCATTTTAATAAATTCATTATATGGTTTATATAATCATTATTTGTAATGTTGCATTTTAATAAATGCATTGTATGGTTATATTGTAATGTTGCATAATGCATTGTATGTTCATATTATATTTTACATTGTATGGTTATATTATTAAATCATTATTTGTAATGTTGCATTTTTAAACTAAAATGCATTGTATAGTTTAAATCACTTATATGTTATATTAATAGGATTATAATAGTAGAAGTATTAACTTTTAAATATGATAGGGTCTTAGCCTATCACGTTTATTATTATAAAGAATATAAGGTTCTTATAATTAGTCTATACTATTATAGTATATTTTACTTTTTTAGATATACTCTCTAGACTTAGAATACTAATATTATAGCTAATAGTTCTTTATTATATATATTATAATTAAGCTCTATAGGGATTATCTTTCTAGACTAAAATATAACTAGTTAGGAAGTCCTATTTTCTTCTTAAGTTAGTCTAGCTTTAAAAATATAGTCTAAAGCGTCTATTTCTAATATAATTAATAAATTATAGTTAAAAGTAGTTATAATCGTCTATTTATTAAATAGTTTCTTTACCTCTTAGAATAATATCTCTACTATATTATTTTATATAATATTTATATTTTTTTAGTAAATCGGTAAAGTCCGGTTACTATATTAGTATACCTATCGATAATTTTCTAATAGTAATTCGCTAGTTTAAAAACCTATTATACTTCTTTAATATTTCTAGATATAAGCTATTCTATAATACTTTTAATATTATTTTCTTTTATATCTAATCTATTTAGGCTAATATAATATCTAAAGAACCCTATTTTCTAGATATAGAACTCGTACTTCTTAAATTTAAAAGTAACCTTTATAGCTCTTAATTTATATAGTATTAACTTATTATACTTAATATAATCTTTAGGCGTTTTAGAGAATACTAAAATATTATCTAAATATATAATAATAAAGATATTAAGATACTCTTCTAACACGCTAAAGATAGAACGCTAGAAAGTTATTAGTATATTAATAAGGCCGAATAGTATAATTATATACTTATAGTATCTATATTTAATTATAAATACTATTTTCTATTTATAGCCTAGTTTAACCCGAATATAATAATATATATTAGTAATATTATACTTTGAAAAGTACTTTACTCCTTAAATCTAATCCTAAATCTTATAGATTAAAGGTAATAAGTATTAATCTTTAATAGTAATCGAATTTAGATATCGATAGTCTATATAAAGTCGAAGACTTCTATCTTTCTTTAATATAAAGATAATTAGATATTCTACTAGTAACTTTAAGATATAGATATATCCCTTCTATAGATTCTTATTAATATAATCTTTAAGTACTTCAGATTCTTTCTAAAATAGTTAATAGATATGTTTAAAAGTCTATTATATTTTAAAGTAGTATTTATAACTAATACCCTAGTCCTCTTTCTTTAGGACTAGTTATTACTACTATCGGTTTATTAGATAGACTTCTTCTAATATATTTTATAGTTATTATATTATTTTATATACTTATATCTATCGAATAAGATATATCTCTCCTACTAATTAATATTTAGATTATACTTCCTAAACCATAAAATATCTAAAATAAGATTATAATCTCTTATCTTTAAGATATTAAACTTTATTAATTTTAGATATTTATAGATAGATATAAGTAGGGTAATAGTCTTTTCGCTAATTCCTTTAAAGAGGACTTTTCTATTAAGTCTTATAACTAATATTACTTATAATAACTTCTTTATTAAACTCTATCGACTTTCTTAAAACCTTAGATCTATAAAGTTATCTACTAATATAACTTCTACTAACTAAGCTTTAGTATCTAATAATAATAAGAAAAAGGATAAGAAGGGTAGAAATTAATCCAATTTAAATAATAATAATAAGGATAAAGAGAAGTCTAAAAAAAAGACCGACTTTATCTAAAAAGAGAATATTATCTTCTACTCTTACTATAAAACTATAGGAAACCACTTCTTATTAAAGTACCTTTTAAAACCTAAAGGCTCCACTAATATAACTATAATATAATAACTATAACCTTAAACTTAGTAAGTTCCTATCCCTATCCCTAGCTAGA